GACGCTCGCTATTCCTCACCCCGTTACCGCGTCGGTACAATGTACATCGATATTTTTACGAAGATTCGCCCAATGCTTCAGGAAGGAAACAGCACCAAGGAGGAAGAGACGACCGTGAAACCAAGGCCACAAACGCCAGGTTCCTGGCCACCACCGATCCCGACGCATCCACCTGATCATACCATACCACCGCTGCCCACCCATCCGCCATATCTCGAATTGCCAACATTCTCAACGATAAAACCAGTTTTCACGTCGAAAAAACCTGCCGTTGCGACGACCTGGCCAACGAAGAAACCTGCCTGGTGGCCAGGTGCTCCTGCTGTACCAACCACTAGCGAGAAACCCTTAGGAACTATTTCCAGCATCGATACGTCTCAATGCGGGGCAAAGAACGGTGTACAGGATCAGGAACGGATCGTGGGAGGTCAAAACGCTGACCCCGGCGAATGGCCTTGGATAGCGGCGCTCTTCAACGGTGGACGGCAATTCTGCGGTGGTTCCCTCATCGACGATAAACACGTTCTTACTGCAGCTCACTGCGTTGCCAAGTAAGTCCTCCAAAAAACACACATACATACGTGTGTATATCTGATCCTGCAAAAGAATCGTTAGATTTGTTACCGTGTAATGAAATGCAGGATTAATTGATGGAGAATTAATTAGTTCAATGTCACCTTTGGTTGATAAAGTTCCGTTGATATGAATAATCTTCGTAAGTTACGTATACTTTCTCCAAAAAGAGTTCAAGTTGGGCAGATAAATCTTGATTTCTATGATTCCAGCATGAACTCCTGGGACGTAGCGAGATTAACGGTCCGTCTTGGAGACTATAACATTAAGACGAATTTAGAAGTCAGACATATCGAACGACGAGTGAAACGAGTAGTCAGACACAGAGGTTTCAATTCGCGAACTTTATACAACGATATCGCGTTACTCACCCTTAATGAACCCGTTCCGTTTACGAAACAAATACGGCCCATCTGCCTGCCAAGTGGCTCGCAACTGTACTCTGGAAAAATTGCCACGGTTATTGGCTGGGGTTCCTTGAGAGAAAGTAAGGAATCGTGAAATTTTAAGATGAGTTTCGTAAAAGTTGTACCATAATGTATGAATGTTAAAGGTGGGCCACAGCCAGCGATACTTCAAGAAGTATCGATACCTATCTGGTCAAACAGTGAATGCAAGTCGAAGTACGGTGCAGCAGCACCTGGTGGTATTGTGGACAGTTTCTTATGTGCGGGACGAGCTGCGAAGGATTCCTGCTCGGTCTGTATCGTAAAACTGCTTTGTTGCGTTATCAAATTTATGTTGTTGACAATATATCTGTCATTTTGTAGGGAGACAGCGGTGGTCCTTTAATGGTGAATGACGGTCGCTGGACACAAGTGGGTATCGTCAGTTGGGGTATCGGATGCGGTAAAGGTCAATATCCTGGTGTTTACACTAGAGTAACGCATTTCCTACCTTGGATTTCCAAAAATTTGATGAAGTGAAACACGCATTAGAAGATCCATTAGTCTTACTTAATAAACTATATTGTTTTTCGTCGTTGTCACCCACACGCCATCGAACTCGACATAGCGTCATGTAAAATAATAACGAGACTCATCAACTATTGAAAATCTTGATATGAATAAAAACGGTAACTTCCGTTCCTAGAGTTTATTCCTGTACAATTTGTTTAACAAACCATTGTCGATAGATTGATAAAACAAAATGCTCATCCAGGGATAAGTGATCATACAAGAATTCTAAATTGTAACAAATTATTTTATAGTACTATACATATACAACTATATAAAAAATAGTTTAACACTATAACAATATTTGCGTTCTGTTATTCCTGTCACAGAACAGGCTGTATACTGACATCTATCTTCCCATTGATGTGGTACCTCAAACATTGCTCAAATTGCTCACGTTTAAATGTTGCATAATATTACGTGCTAAAAAACAAATCAACAAACTTTATTTTATCAAACATTAAACAACTGAACACATTCGTATACCATAGTATCTTATATAACTTAAAACTACCTTGAAAATAACATGTATCATAATTATCATCGGGTTGCGGTATAAAAGGTGGTGTCGCTTCCAGTGGTTCGTTCCAAGGAAAATCTTGGAATAATTTCATAACTCGTACTTCTTGCGCAGAAGGACGTTCGTATTGATCCAAAGTAAGAAGTGCATCTATGGCTTCCACGGCAGCTGCTGACAAAGCTTCTTCTTCCTCTGGCCAAGGGATGTCTCTGGCGAGAATATTAGAGAACACAGCCTGTGGTGTTTCGTCGTTGAATGGCGGAACACCGGTACAAAACTCAAATAAACACACCCCTAGAGCCCACCAATCTACCGCAGGTCCATGACCTTTTCTTAAGAGTAATTCTGGAGCGAGATAATCAGGTGTTCCAAGTATGCGGTCATCTGATCGATTGAGACCAGCTTGACCACCTCTTCTCACCGATTTCGGAGTTCTGTAAGGTGTGTAATAATTTCCAGAAGTTGCCGGTGTTTTTATAGGCGATATACCTTGAGGCGATCGATGTTTTTCCAAACTATTACCTATAGGTATCTCAGGAGCTGAATGTGATGTAACAACTGGTGGAAGTTGAAATCTTGTCGTTTTAATCATACGCCTTGTTTCTTCCTCGCATTTTTCCTCATCCTCTTCGCTATAACATCTCTGCTTCGCGAATGATACTGGTGTACTAAATGCAACTCTGCCACTAGACTCGTTTTCTTGTACCGCAGTTGTATCGTTAGCATTATTCATTTGTCTTATTGATTCACAGATATTAGAACTAATCGGACTCCTAGAAAATATACAGCCGCGATTCTTTCTTTTCGGTGTTTTGTCAACTTCCAAGTCCATTGCATTTAGTTCACATGTTAAACCAGTTGTTACCCCTGTTGTAGTTCTTTTTCGTTTTGCGCCTCTGGTAAACATACTCATACATGTACTTAAAGGGCTAGTATGAGGAAGTGGCTGCTGAGATTGATCAGCTTCTAATGTTGATTCATCTTCCTCTTCCATGTTGTAATTAAGTTGACTATTTGCACAGACCAAGGATGCCTCACATGTATGATAACTTCCAGAACTACTTTCTTGTTCTTCGCTGTTATTCTCGACAATAACATTATACTCCAAACGATCCACTATATGAAGATCTTCTGCAGATTGAAAAGGAGTAATTCCAGATACTCTGGAGTAATCTGACGCTGCAGCGGATGAAACTACCGAATTCGGTGATGATTGAATTTTAGTACAGTTTTGTTGTAAAGCAGAAAGTAAATTAACGCCAGGTGTGCTTCTGTCACTAAGATTAGATTCACTTGTAGATCTCTGACCAGAACCAAAAGATAAATGTGATGTCAATGAAAGAAGTTGTCCAGGAGTTCTAATACAAAGACTAGGTGTGCAATTAACTAAATCTGATATTTCAAGATCTCTGTGTAAAGATATTTTGCTAAGCCCAAAATCAGTCAGCTTAACATGTCCCTCTTTTGACAAAAGCATATTATCTGGTTTCAAATCTCTATGTACAATCCCGTGAGAATGAAGATACTCCAAAGCAAGACATACTTCTGCAGTATAAAATGCTGCCATGGATTCTTCCATATAACCATATACGCCAAGCAAACTTTTAAGATCTCCTCCTACCATGTACTCCATTACTAAATAAACACTACTAAGAGATTGCAATGAATAAAATAATTCTACACAATAGGGACTACGTGTTAAAGCTAATGCATTCCTCTCAATAATCACTTGCGAAGCCATATTCTTATTTATCATCTCATTCTTCTTCATTACTTTAATAGCATATACTTTCTCAGGATTTGACTTTTTATGCCCAAGAAAAACTTTACCAAATGCACCACGGCTTATTGGTTTCATAATTTTAAAATCCTGAATATCTGGTACCTACATATTAAATATAATATTAAGTAATGCAGCCAAATTTTAAATTTGAACAGTACTTTTTAAATAATAACATATTTACCTTTGCTGTAGGATTAACAATTTTAGATATAGTGTTAAAGATAGAATTGTTGATCTGTCTGTTTGCTGATGCCTGTTGTGGCGTACATTCTCCATATAGAATCTCGTGTTCATTTTCTGAGTCATTGTATTTTGCGCAAGAATTTTTGTCGTCTGTTTCACTGATTTGGTCATTACCATTTAGACATGAATTTGGCGAATGTATCGCCGCTTCTTCCATTTAAAAAAGTAACCTAACTAAAACCAAACTATAAACCTACGTAACGGAACTTAAAATATCGAAATTTCGATTCATCAAATAATTCCAAAACACATGAAAAACGAAGTTTTATTCATCGTTCTTTCATATTTTATATCTTTCTCTTATGTACACAAATATATTTTAACGGTTATCTAGCATATTTGAAAATTAACATGTACGTGACCATGTGACAGGAAAGTATATTGCATACTTCAAGTGATTTAAAGTAATCAGAGCCGCCAACAATAATTCTTTCCTACTAACTAACGTTATACAATATAAATTAAAAGTAATTAATAACTAATAAAATTTTTTGTTGTAGTGAGGAAAAACAATGATTTTTAATGTATTGTACGGACATAAATACCAATTTTTTTTACATCTCTCTCAAATGCATAGGAACTTCCGTGATTTTTAAACGGTTGCATTGAAGCATTATAATTCCCGCCTTTAAATTTTTTCGTATTCGTAGTAGCTCTGCAATTGTGCTGCAAACGTTGTTGCTCTCTGTATACCATATGAAATATTTACATAAATATAAATTTATTTGAACGTGGAAATTTTATGACTTGATATTTAAAATTAATCTTAATCCTTTATCATTTTTCTTGTGAATATCACATAATTCTATATACGTTGTAACAATACATTTTCAGTAACCTCACAATGTCTGGAAAAGTGGCAAAAAGAGCGCCTAGAAAAAAGGGTGCAAATGCATATAAATTGCCAGATTCAATATCTGCCGGTGAAATATTGACAGATATAGCAAGAAAACAATGGATTCTTGGCACGTCAATCGGTGTCGGAGGTTTTGGTGAAATTTATTCTGGTATATATTCATTCCTATCATTGTTATACTATGTATATATTTCATATTATTATTAATAAAAATATTGACTACATTTTATTATATCTTAGCATTTATACGACATTGATACATAATATATGCATAAATAATCATTTAGTTTTAATATCAATTACAGCTGCACCTTATAATGGAAAAATTCCAAAACAATACCCTAATGTAATTAAAATTGTAAGTATTTACTAATTATTTACATTAAATTATTTATGTCATGTAAAATTTAGTAAATTTTTTTAATTTTAGGAACCACATGGAAATGGACCATTGTTTGTAGAAATGCATTTTTATATGAGAAATGCCAAACCAGATGAAAGTGAGATTTTAAATTTTAATATCTAAATAGAGATTAATTTTAGTTGTAGATTCTTCACTTTTCTTTTTTGCTCATTTTATGATTCATATGTATATAGTTATCAAGTAAGCGTCATAAGAAACAGAGTACCATGCAATTTATTTTAGTTAATAGTTGGAGAATCGAAAAGAAACTGCCAGCACTTGGTATGCCTCAATATATTGGTTCTGGCAGCCATGAATATAAAAACACAAAATACCGATTTGTAGTAATGGATCGATATGGTACAGATTTGTGGAAACTATTTGAGTCAAATAATAGAAGATTTCCAGAACATACAGTATATAAAATAGCTTTACAAATAGTAAGAGTATATTCAAAAAACATTTTAGATTATAAATAACTCTAAGTATTATAACAATTATTTCTTAAGTAAATTGTTACATTTTATAATTAAAATGTTTTAGATAAATGTATTAGAATATATCCATTATAAAACATATGTACATGCAGATATAAAAGGAGCAAATTTATTACTAGATCTAAAATCACAAGATCAAATTTATCTTGTAGATTTTGGATTGGCATCTCACTATACTACAAAAGATGAATATAAACTAGATCCAAAGAAAGCACATAATGGAACTATTGAATACACTAGTAGAGATGCTCATATAGGAGGTAAAAATTATAATAATTCCATAAAATTTAATGTATTCAATAATATAATTTTCTTTCTTTACATTTTAGTACCAACAATGCGTGGTGATTTTGAAATTTTGGGTTACAATATGATCCAATGGTTGTGTGGTTCACTTTTATGGGAAAAGGACTTATCAGATCCAGTTACAGTACAGAAACAAAAAGAGAAAGCTTTTAATAATATTCTAGAATTTTTGAATATGTCGTTCCAAGGATCAGTTCCAAATACTGTACTTAAATACATGACTTTATTAGCAAATGTAAAGTTTAATGAAGTACCAGATTATGAAAAATTTAAAAAAATATTAATAGAAGGATTAAAACAATTATCACATACACCAGATGGAAGGCTGGAATTTAAAAATGATGTTGATTCTCCTAAGGAACGAGTTTCAAAATCCATCACACAAAAAGTAAAAAAACCGATTGACAGGAATAAAAAAAGTCCACGTACAAAAAAAATAACTCCAAATCCTAAGAGAGGTCTCGATGATAGCACTGTAGGAATTGTAATAGATAAAAAACGTGGTGGTGTAAAAGATATTAAACTAGCATTAAATGAGATTGAATCTGACGAAGAATATGATATAAAAATAGTCAAAAAAATAAAAAGAAATGCCAATTCTATAAATAAATTTAATGAAAAAAAGAGCCCAGTTAGAAACAAAAAAAGAATTAAGAGCAGTGATAACAATTCAGATTCTGAACCAGAGGTAATACATGCATTTTTCAAATTTAATAATATTAATATTAATATGTTATGAAAGTAAAATGTCCTATTTTTTATTTATATATTATTTTCATAGATTATATCAAAAGGTACTAAATCACGACCCATCAATGTTCAAAATGTGACGCCTAAAAGTTCAAGAACTCAACCAAAAACAATGTTAACCGATAAAAGTGCATCTGACGAAGATATGTTTGATACATAATTATTAGAAGTGTGAAGTAAATATTTACATTTGTAGTGCGTTTACACGCATTGAGATTCTCTTATTTAATGGAATTTTGTACATTATTGTATTTATAGCAAGACTTATAAAACTATTGATATATTGATTGCGCAAACGAAGTAACTATTTGCAAGTACATTTCATTATTCGTATAATTATTAATCAAAGAAATCAATATATTTAGGTACATTTGCATGATAAAAAATTGTACAAAACATGTAAAATTAATAAGTAATAATGTTATGATTGTTTCTGTATATGTAAGAAGAAAAAGCATTATAACCTGTTTTATGATACCAGGATATTCATGTTTGAAAGAAATGAACTATTATTAAAAAAGTTTTATCCATATATAACTTTTGTACAAGTAAATCATATATAATATGTACAAATACATGTTTGTTTATTAACAGTGTTTACAATAAATTTTACTCAGGTCACCTATTTTTTTAACTTCTGTATTTGAGGTGCACTTATTTTAACTTTTCCGGGAATATTTCTAGCTATTGTTTCCTCTTTAACAGCTTTTAATAAGTCTCTTTCTCTTGAAGTGATTTCTTTATCTTTCATAAATACTGCTATAGCAGTTTTTGCTGCCTTTCCTCTCTTACCCGTACCTGGCGTTAGTTTTACCTTAAATCTAAAATATTATACATAAAGAACAAAAATTTTAGTACATCTGCTAGTGGTGTGCGAGATGCCGATGCTCGAAATGAGACGTGAAAATGATAGAGATTCCGTTTTAATCCCAAGAAAAATTTCCATTCCATATCGATCTCGATCCGATATTTTTGAAATCCCGCACACTCCTAATTACTGTATAAAAATAAGTTTAACTTACTTATAATTCAATACAGTGTTATAAGGCGCTATCACTGGCACAGCAAATAGCAATTCATCTTCTGTAACAGGTTTTCCTGTTAACTGATCTAACATATCTACTTCAGGCCCTGGGCCTGTATCTTCATCATCAATATTTTCTATAATTTGAGAATTTTGTGGTGGAGCTGATTTCATTATACCCTTCTTCTTTGTTTGTTGTTTTGGACCAGATGGATCTCTATTTTTATTTTTTTTTTTATCTTCTTTTGCAGTACCTGCTGACTAAATGTTACATAGATTATTATGACACACTTGTTAGCAGTACAAGTATCATTAATCATTAATAACAAAAAATACTTACTTGAAGAACTTGCATAGATAATTTTCTATCTTCCTCATCTTGATCTTTATATTTCTCTTTCATTTTTTTTAATCTTCCTTTTTGTCCACGTTTCAAAACAACTTGATCATTTTTCTTAGTCACTACTTCCATCTGTTCTTTATTTTCTTTTTTACAAGGTGGCTTTTGCTTAGCTTCAAAACTCCTATCCTTGCCCGCAATGTTTATTAATACAGGCTTATCATCACCTAAGTAAATTACATCTCCTAAATCTTTTTGTGGCATTGCTGTTGACTGATTATTACCAACATGTAAGTTTATCCTATAAATATTCAAATATATTATCTATAAATAAAATATAATACAAAAAATAAAAAATTAAACTGTATATTTACTTTGAACCGGAAACATCGATTTTAATTTGTGTGTCAGGAAATTGAGATAGATTGTCTTCCTCATCGCTAGTATCTTGATTAACATTATTTTCTTCTATAATTAAATCTGTTTTAGATTCTTCTTCAATAGGATTTAAGTTATTCTTATTCTCAAATTGTTCATCTATTTAATTTAAAATAATAAAATATGGATTAATAATAGCAAAATTTGTTATATCTATTTCATATATCTGTATAAAATAATTATAATTTAAATTCACCTTCTTCAGAATCCTCCATTAATTCAATTTCTCTATCTTCTTCAATCAAAGAGTCTGTATGCTCATTTTCATCATCAATCACCTTGACCCTTCTGTCATCTTTATGTCTTTCGATTGAACTTTCTTCTAGACGAAACAAAAATCCTAATCCCATGACTAATTGACATGGTGGTAGATAATTTTTTTTTCCACGAATCATGAAAGAACCAGTAGTAAGGTATTCACCAGTTGGAGCCGTTTTTGATACTTGATCGTTATTTACCCACCATGCTCCTGCTACTACTTTAGCATCCCACGCAATACTAACATCGCAATTATAATGTTTTTATAATAAAAAATATATCGATAAGGTATAAATATTTATATACCTGTAGGCAACTGCCATTGTGCCTGCCTCAGCTAAAGTTTTTGGAGGCACTGGACTGCCATCAGGATTCTTAATAACTACGGAACTAGCACCAGTTAAATCTGCATGTACATATACATCCCCAGATTTAAGGTATCTTTTTACTATCAATTCATTTTGTTGTTGATCCCTTCCACCAATTACTACAAAATTATAAAATTAATGACTATTATTGCAAATATTATACATTTTTTAACATCTTACCAAGATAATTCTCAGAACTAATAAACCAATAAAATTTTTCAAACCAATATATTTTTCTTAATTTATTAATACTGTGAATAGCTTGTACTTCTTTTAATGTTTGTTTTGTTTTCTTTTCCGCCGATTTTAAAGCTTTATCTTGCGATTCTATTGTTTTTTGTTGCTTTTTAGCTGCTGATCTCTTTTGATTATAATATTTTCTAGCATTTCCAAAAGCTGTATGTGCTAAATCAATATCGATTAACATAGGCTTTAATTCTGGTTCTTCATCACTATCTTCATAAGGATCATGTAATAATAAAGATATATGATTTGTTTCCAATTTTAATTGTTTTATTGCAGATGCAACAGGATCACCTCTACTCTCTGCTTCTTTTAACAACACTTTTATATCAGGCCAAGCCATTTGATTTGCAAGAGCACTTTGTATAGCTAATATAGCATTATCTACCAAAACTTGGTTTCTGGAAATCAATTCTGCTTTCTGTTTATCTAATTCTTGAGTTTTCTCCAATGTTATTAATCTCTGATCATGATCCTTTTTTACATTTTCTAATTTTTTGAATGCGTCGCGTTCCTGTTGTAAAGCTTTCAAATCTAATTTTTGACCTTCCATTGTAGAAAAATATTCATCTACTGCAATATCAAACGATGTAAACTCTTTATATGGATAATCTTTATATTGTTCAAATAAAAATGGATGAAATTCAATATTGGTATATATAAAGTCTTCTTTGCCATCTGCAGTAGGTTTTAGTTCTTTTTTTTGGATGATGTATCCTTTGGAAACATTTGTTTTAGCAAAATCCATCATTTCATTCGCACATTCTAATGCTAGAATTAATTTTGACATATGTTCTACAACATTAAAATCCTTGCCAATTTTACAACCAAGTGTAAATCCATGTTTTAATAAAACATGATCAATTACAGCAGAACCAAATTCTAGAAGTGGATTTAGTACTTTTTTCAGACTTTCTCCTGTTTTGGCATTTTGTAAGTGCTCTTGTATTTCTTTCATTGATGGCATTGTATTTTGATGAGCACGGTCCATAGGATATTTCTCCTTGACAGCAAATCTAATCATTGCATATATTTTTAATGTCTTAGCACTACATAATAATTTTAATATTTAATTTACTTTATAGCTTACCTAATTTTGTCTCCCTCTGTGTGAGGCCTCAAAATATTTAAAATGGTCATTTCATGATCTGTTAAAACTATATTTCCACGATCATACAATTCTAAAATTACATGGTATGCTGCTTCACCACTTCCAAATTGTAAATTAATCATTCGGTCTACACCTATTTGAGTAAGACTCTCAAGTCGCTTATTTTTAAGATGTTTACGCATCTATAAAGATACATGATAAATAAATATTTTTATAAAAAAATTGTTCAACTTTTGTAATACTGTAATACCTTCATTGAAAACCCTGACGGCGCGACATTTTTTGGCCATTCAAATGCCGTTGTATGAATTCTATTGCCAGATTCTAATAAAAGGACATATTTTTCTTCACTTCGTTGAAGACGTATAAGATAAGTTCGATGATCAATGTCGTAAATTTGATTTACGCGCATTCCAATAAGCCTATATGTTAAGATTATGATATGAAATTACTTAAAAATATTTATATACTTCCGATTTAACCTTTAAGGATTAAAAAAATTGCGATACAAAGTTTTAATAATTGCTTACTTTTGTAATTCACTTATTGTACAAGCAATATCATAGGAATTAAATCTCGTCTTCATCTTTATATACTTCTATTTAAATTATTGAAAAGTTCAAAAATTTATATTGATGCTACTCTTACACTCACGATACGTACATGCGTACTCCCAATTAACATATTGATACATATAAATATACGTGCGCATGCGCAGAATGTACATAAAACTTTTATATCTTTATCAATTATAAACATAATGATCAATCCAAATTAATTTTTAAATATATACATTAACAAATAAAATTTTCATGAAAACCAAATACTATATTTAACTATAGAAAAGAAAAGAAAAAATAGAATAATGCAGTCTCCTACCAATAAAGCAATTGTAAAATTAGTCAAATGTAAAAGTACAGATATGTCCATTTCTGAAACAAAAATTTCAGGTACTTAAGGGGAGATCAGTCAATGACATATACCAATTTAGAATAAGTTTTCCCATCGCTGGGAATTACTAATAATAATTTATGAAACATTCAAGTTCTTTTGAATTTTCGAGATATTGAACTGAGAATTTAATAGTATTAAATTATAATGGTACTAATTATACATATACAATAATTTATAAATGCACTATACAGTTTGAACCAACTTACGTATAGTTTGAAACATTATACATAAAAGAACAAAAGGAATTGTTTTTATGTTTTTTATTCAATTATACGAATAAAATGTAATGTAAAATTTGTAGATGTTAACGATAAGATTTCTGGTATCGTGCTCTGGCACCTGGACCACCAAATTTCTTTGGTTCACATCGCCTTGGATCAGCAACCAAAAGTGTACGGTCATACTGAATAAGAATATCTTTTACTTCTTTTTTACTTGCTTCATCAACATCTAAAAAAAGACATTTTATATAAATAAAATATTTTTCTGCCAAATTTTTCATTAATACATACATTTCTGATAGTATGCCACAAGAGCCTTGGATATAGCCTGACGAATGGCATAAATCTGTGCTACATGACCACCACCATTTACTCTTACTCTAATGTCCACTCCAGAAAACTTTTCCTATACAAGAAATATAAGAAATTAAGTATTATTAAAATAAAAATATCTTTAATACAAAAAATATATGGTGTACATTCTCAGTACCTTTATTTTCATAATCATAAATAATCATATTCGGAATAATAAAACATCAGAGAGTAATATTGAAAAACATAAAAATTATTATTTTATCAATTAAGGCAATATAGCAAACTATTCTTGAAATTTCAAAGAATTAACATGTTTAAAGTACTTACTTTACCAAGTAACAAAATAGGTTCTTGTAATTTGTATTGCAATACACGAGGTTCAACCAATTCTAATGGACGTCCATTTACTCGAAGATTTCCCCGACCTCGTTTGCAATAAGCTACTGCAGTAGCACTTTTCTGTAAATATAAACGAACATTTAAAAGAACACGCGCGAACATAACCTCACTCAGTTTTGGCAGTTAATACTCACTTTACGTCCGAAGACTTGCACGGACTGAATTGGTTCTTTTTGTTTCTAAAAAGAAAATAAGATATTAGCTTGGTATTAAAACATAAATTTATCTCGTACAAAGGCAACGAATATACAAAATTTGTAATATGAAAAACCTACCTTCTGCATTTTGGAAACCACGTCGTGGAAAGGAAACTAAAGAAGAGCGGCACAATGTTTTCGTCAGTGTTTCTAACTACGCTAATCAAATTCGTATTACAACTTCCGTTTACTAGCGCGATATATAAACTACTCAAAGTCAAATAAATGTTCCGTTAAGTTTTATAGTTAATATTCGATCATAAATTAACATACAGAAGTAATATGCATATTCTATTGATTTCTTTATTCTATAAACATATTTACGGAAATTTTAATTTCATTTTCATTCTTTATTAAAATTTAATTTCCTTTACAATTATACATAAATTGAATAGTGATAATAATTTACACCGTACAGTTTAAATTAAATAAAATTAATAACGAGTAACCAACAGAGAGAACCTTTTTTTAAAATAACAATCATTTATTACATTAGTAATACAATTATACATAAAATATTACATTCCGTTATAATGTACAGGATTAAGTTTGATCCATTTGTTTAACAATTGGGAACATTCGACCGACGATCACAAGTTTCGGTCACTGGATTGTATACAGAACCGTTCAAGCAATGACTCGAATATTTCATATAATAATTGCCAACTTTTCTGCAAATGTAATATATTGTGCAATTATATGGGTGTGCAATATTCCCTTCGTGCGTACATATAGGGTCAAAAAATGGTGTTGTTAGTAGTGATGGACTTGATGTGCTAAAAGTATTTTCTGTCAACACCCTGTTGATTGTATTCAAAAGTGGATACATTTTACCACTTGTACCATGGAAGTCATCGGTATCAAGACTCCACAACATCATACCACCAAGACCCATACTCTTAGCATATTTCGCTTTCTCTTCAATAGATCTGCAAAGGTGAACATATTAATTTTTACATATTCTTGTTTCTTAATTTTAAATCGCTATTGCTACATTTTTATAAAGTGAATACTCACGTGACATCGTCATATCCAACCCATTGGTTACCTTTGAAAGCATAAGGTACATGTTGTTGCGATTCACGTACCACTGTCCAACCCTTCTGGAGATACATGCAAATTTCATTATAACCGAGGAAGCCTGATTTCTGCGTATAAGGTCCATTATTACCACCACCTGTGGCATAAGCACCTATTTCGTGACTTCGGGAACTTAACGTGAAGGATCTACCATAACTTGAAATTCCAAGATTAATCTTATTAGCTGGTGCCCCTTGTGAAAGCCAATATTGAACACTTGAATTCTAAAACGGAAATGTTCCATATACTTTTTCTACATTTCTCAGTCATTTTTAAGATTATCGAAAACTTACTACATTCATTTTAGCTTTGCCTCCGGATTCGTTAGAGGAAGCATACAATGGAGCATGAATTCCTACGGTACGATCCCATGATCCGTGAAAATCGTACGTCATCAGATTAATAAAATCAACGTATTGCGACACTTGCGAAATAATGTAAGAATGAGAAGCTAACGCTTCAAGAGCGACGGTCGTCACGCTGAGAGTGTAATTACGTTTGTCAAACTCTTGTTTTAACTCTTGCAATACGGCTACATAATTTTGTTTATCGGATAGTTTGCCGCCCCGCTGATTCGGAAACTGCCAATTCAGATCAAGACCGTCGAAATTGTAAATCTCCAAAAAGTTAATTATGTTTTCAACGAATTGGGCACGACTAACAGAATTTCCGACAACTTGAGAGAAATTGATGGATCCTTCGTCCCAACCACCTATCGCTATCATTAATTTGACATCTGGATTTGTCGCATGAAGTTTAATAAACTTTCGAAAACCGTCTCTACCGCTCGGTAAGTCCGTCCAAGGATCCAATATTTTAATATCACTATTGTTAGTAATACCAACGTAATTATAGATGATATGAGTACATAAAGATGAATTTATATTAAACAGTTCGAATTTTCCACCTTCAGGACGATAGGTAGCGCGTCTATTATAGTAGCAAACGATATTATCTGGACAGTAAAAATAAATTATGTACAGTGCGTATTTTACATGACTTAGCTACTTGAATGGAAAGATACAGGTTTGAGATTATAGAATCGATTAGTGGTACCGATAACAAGAGAAAATTAATAAGCCATTTCTTTAATAATCTTTTATACTTACAATCGGCTATGACATCCGTAATAACGCACGCCAATAAAGTAACCAGGAACACTGTTTTTAACATCTATGAATAAGCGTTTTTTAAATTACTGATAATTAAGACTTTATTAATATATATATATAACTATTAATATATAAAGTACAAGAAACTTAATTCATAATTCTCAATTTAATATTCCTCTTAAATGAGAAATATTAAAAATTTTGTAAAATTATATAAATTAAAACATTTCAATTGTACTTATAACAGTCTTTAATAATTTTTATGTATATGACTGCCTCCATTTAAGAACCTTGATGGCTTATTATATAAGAATCCTTAGCAAATTAGTATTGAGAAACGTAAAATAATTTATCTGTTAATGTAATTAAATTTATTAATAGGTATTTGATAATTTATATGAAAATGATGATTTGTAAATATTTGATAATCTGTGTGTCAAGCATATAATATAAATATTAATAAAATAAAATGCGCGACAAAATTTTTGTAGTGAAATCCAAGTATCTATAATATCAAATGTCAATGTACAGAAATTATATTTATGTTTTCATTGCTTTTTTAAATCTTCAAATAAATACAACCCTGCGCAAAAATTGCAATGAACTTTATATTGTCATTGAGCAGTATATAATATAATATACTATAATGTTAATATATTACAAAAAGTTAGGCACTTCGTCTCTTACCTTTATAAAAAATTGTTGATGTATCACTTTCCAATTCGATCTTTTTCTTTATCCGTTTAAATCGTATCTTTATATACTAAAAACGTATCTTACAATCTTGCGATCGATATATATTGTTCCAAAAACTTTTATCGCGATATATTTCTACGTAATGGTCATTATCAACTTGCTATCAACTTAAATTGGTGTTTATCAAATATTACTAATTAATGTAAAATATAGTGTAACCTGTTAATTAATTGTATGTTAATATAATAAAAATTTAATTCGGAATATCATACTTACAAATATATAGAAAAGTTGTTAACTAAAAAGGAAAGAATTCCTCAGAAATAACATTCGTAATTATTTTCAAAACAAATAATGCGGAAGTTGAGATTACCGTTAGATAACACTTTTCTAATCAATCTTTTCGTAATAAACGGACGCTCATATATATAGATAAATATTTCGCTCATAATATGAGTTTTTAAATATTAAAGAAATATATTCTTAATATTAGAGCCTTTAACAACAATAATTGAAAAATGAATAAAGAATCAATGCAAAGAATCAATCATTCAAAACACACACATTTGTAATAGATAAAGTTTTATTTATATATATCTTACATAAATTTTTAACAATATTTTAAAATATGATACAAAATTACTTGGGTTTTTAAATTTAATATTTATATTTGATCATTTGATTATTTCTTATTAATGCTTGTCTGCGAACATATCTCCAATATTGCTTTGTATTTGGATCTAAGTCTGATAATTTTGGTGGTTCAAGCCTGATGTTCCACAACCATTCAGGATATTCAGAATCAGGCTTTAATTTTATATCTTCTCCTTGTTTATAAATATTTGATCCGCATACATAAGTTAATAACTTATTTACATCTGTTTCAACTTGTATATTTATAACTCCTTTCGTAAAAGCTCTTTTTTTCTTGTCTAAAAGATAAAACAATATATGCATAAAATCATTCTACTAAGTGATATATTTGTTATAATATGTTAATAGATTTTACAAGAAGAAATAGCGTTACAAATTAACTCAATGATTGCATTCGTATTAACACAGTTTCGATTTTATGAAAATTTGTTTTATTTTGTGTTAACACAGTATTACTTTATTCGCTGATTTTATATAAAAGTATGTACATTTGAATTTTTGGATTTTTTGAGAATTTTTTACCAATTTTTGTAAAATAATTCGAGCCATAAGAGGTTAGAAAAATACAGGGTGTGTGACATAACCTCTATTCTCATAAAAATATTAAAATTCTCAAATTATATATAGTTATTTGAGTACAATGTATTTTTTACCTTCTGCTGCATAATTTTTCACATTTATTGCGTACTGTATTGGAATAATACTTTTCCTAACTCTAGGCAATCGTAAAATAGATAGGAGAGACATAGTATTATGCCACTATAAATAATGACTATCTAAAATACTGAATTCCCCAATATTGCTTAAGATGTACATACATATATAATTTATTTAATAAGTGTTAAATAATAATTGCATATTTCTTTTACTTTTATATAAATATATCTAATGAAAGCTAAAAATATAATATTAAAACAATTACATTTGATTAATTACTTTATACTTTACTAGTAATATTAACATTAAATAAATGTAAATTTAGGTATTGAATATATTTAATTTAAAATATTTTCTAAATAAATCATTTCAATTAATGCATTTGCATTTATAATGCTTATTCTATGCTATAATTACATTATAACGCGGAACTTTTAAATGTTGACAACCGTAGTAAATCAAATGCGCAATGACAAACAATAAATTTTGGACTTTTGTTAAGCTTAGTTTTATCATAACTTTATGAAAATAGAAGTTGATTCACTGAAGGTTATAAACGTAATTAGTATCTTTTTAAATAATTAAGATTATGATTAAGATAAATTTGTGACACAATATACCAATTATTCCTTTATGTTTCGGTTATGTAATGCCAGTAAGCAACGATAGAGTAACGCGGGTAGGTTCGATTTTATCGTAAAATGTTAAAGAACATTACATCTTTCATTTCATAACATAAATAGAAAATATAATATGTAAATAGACACGAGTATGCTAATGTTAGAAACAAGAATTTTAAATTTGTGGCATTTTTATTTTTGTATTGCATTTCCTATGTTATCGCATCCTTTACGGTTTGTATTATAGTGTAATTCAGGTAATGTTACTTAATATTTTAGAAAAAAATAGGAGATTTTAGCATAAATGGAATTAAAGGAGAATCAATAGAAACTAATATTGAAAATCAACAAAATAATAATTTCTTGATTATTGCTCCTGCTTTACCCATTTTACCTGAAGCTCCTATACCACCAAAGTTATTTAAACGTCGTTATAATTCGTTCAGGTATTCCATTAATACATAACTCAATAGCCTTTTTTTAATAATTTCAATTAAAAAAATTCATAAACTTTTGTATAAATTTTATATATAGTCCATCAGATTCTCCATTTAACATAGAACATGATAAGGTTGATGGTTCCAATACAGTTACTTTACAATGGACAAGCGAAGGAAAAACTATTGTGGCAACAAGAACAGCTGCAGAAAAAGAAAAAAGTCCTGACAGAATATGTCTTGATAGACGAGGACTTACTACATTTCCAAATATAATTGGAGAGCCACGTTTACGTTTATTGTCTCTTCAACATAATCTACTTACAAAAATCGAAAGTAGTAACTTCTCTCAGTTAATAAAATTAGTATTTCTTGATCTATATGATAACCAGATTGAAAAAATATGCAATTTTGACACATTAGAAAATTTAAGAGTATTATTGATTGGAAAAAATAGAATAAAAAGAATTGAAGGATTAAAAGAACTTCCTAAATTGGAAGTTTTAGACCTACATGGAAACCAAATTGTACAAGTTTCAGAGTTAAATAATCTTGTATCTTTGAAAGTGCTAAATTTAGCTGGAAATAATATTAAAACAATAGGATATCTTGATTTCCAAGGTTTGACATCATTAAAAGAGTTAAATCTTAGACGTAATAAAATAAAAAAATTATTAGGTTTTGATAAAACACCACTATTACAAAAATTGTATTTAAGTAATAACGATATTTATAAGTAAGTATACTATAAATTTGTATGTAAAAGATTAGTTATTGTAATATACTTGATAACTTTACTTGATCAACCATAATTAATGTTTCAGAATTGAAGATATTGGAAGTCTTGCTAAAGCATTACAACTTAGAGAAATAACAATTGATGGAAATCCTATAACATTAAATGGAGATTATGTTTCTTTCCTTGTATCATACTTACCAAATTTACAACTTTTATCAACTATGCCAATTACTGAACAAGTTCGAAGAACTGCTGTGGCTTGGAGAACGACAAAAGAACAAAATAATTCTGCCTTTTTAAATCTTAGTGCACAAGTTTGTATGAATGCTCAACGGGAAGAAATTATATCAAATGCTAAAATAAATTGGGAACTTCTCAGATGTCATCCTAAATTTTCTACAAATGACAGCAATAATAAAGACAATATTCGGAATAGTAACATTAATGCATTGCAAATACAAAAGTCAAATAAATTCAATATGTTAAAGCCTAAGAATTTAGAGAAAGTAAAATCAAAGGGCTTTGGAAGTTTGACATCTATAAATGAAAACATAGAAGCAACAAAAATAAATATAAAGAAAAGAAGTAATTCTAGTGATAATTTATTTCGATTAAAAGATGCAACTAAAACATATCCATTAGAATTTAAACTTCCACCAATCTTAGATTCTATTGTAGATAGTCTAATAAACAACAAATTTGATGAAAAAATAAAAAAAAATTTAGCAAAAATAAAAATTAAAAGCGACACTGAGGCTACATCCAGTAGTGATTCAGAGACTTTAGAGAGTCATGAAAAGTTGCAAAATTGTTTGAATTCCCATTTATTCAATTCTAACAACTATATTTCTCCATGTGATATTAATAAAATTGTTACTAATAAAACATTTGGTTCTATGAATGTTTTTCCAACATCTGAATTTGCCGATAATAAGTGTTATAATGCATTCAAGTCTTCTAATTTATCAATAAATGATAAACAAGATATAACAACAATATCTCAAAGTATAAAATTTCATGATCAGCATGGTCTAAGTGATTGTCAATCAAAATCAAGCATTGATTCATCTGGATATTGTTCTTTAAGTTCTAAAACTAATAGTATTGATAGTTGCAAGTCAATGTTAAGTGACTTCAGTACATCATCTACTACAAAAACTGTATTGCAAAAATATAAAAATTTAGAAAGAGATAAGAACAAGATGAAAAGTACTCAAGGTAAAAAAGTAGTATGTTATAAAAGTAATAAAGCAGCAACTGTTAGAGCTAAATATAGAGCTGTAACACCACCAAGTTCAGCACCATTACAAAATCTATCAAAAGAAAGAGAACAAGGTATAAAATCATAATACATATATATGTTAATTGATATAAATGAAAAATCTGTTTTAATTTTTTTATAGGAGGAGATTATTTAATAGAAATAGTTGGCCGTTGCTTAAATATTTATGGTCAAGGCGCATTACGTTTTATTGATCGTTTATGGGATTCTTCAAAAGCTCAAGACGTTAACATAGTTAAATTTAATTATCTACAATTTAATGATGTAGCCAAAGTTTTAAGTAAAATAAAAAATAGGTTTCCAAACATAGAGCATTTTATGTTTAAAGAAACTAATATTAGTTATCTTGGACAACTCAATGCTTTAGCTGAAGTGCAGGGATTAACAAGTATTCATATAGAGACTGGAAATCCAATTATATCAAAGGATTGGAAAGTTTATGCTATATTTCGTTTAGCTCATTGGGGTTTAAAAGTTATCAATGGGAAAGAAGTAAATATTGTTTAACTTTTATTATAAGTTTGTATAGATTCATATAAACATTATAGAAATACAGGAATTATTAATTTTTACTTATAAAATTAGCAACATTTTTTAAATAGATTACACATGAAGAAATTGATTTAGCAAATAAAGAATATGCTGGTCTTGTTGATATTGTGATGTGTTCACTGCCAGAATCTTTATTACAACCTTTATTAGAAAGACTTCATTTAGAAAAAGTACAAAGACAAACTGGGGAAATTACTGCCAAACAATTTTTACTTAACAGTGATCCAGCACTTAGGAGTGTTGTTGCTAAGGAAGCATTACAATGGAGAAAAACGAGTATAACACAGGTAATAAACTTGATAGGTAACAATAAGAAAATGTTAGTTTAATTTAACTTTAATTTTCATATTACTTTTTTTTAATTGTAGGAAGATCTTATTTGGAGACATAGAGGCAAAATACATTTACTAAATTTGATAAATCTGACTATAGATGCAATACAAAAGTTACAGTTACTTGAAAACAAATGGCCAAGTATTTTATATGAAATAATTCACACTACTTTATTTGATTTTTCTGAAATGGATGCATATATGAAACGTTGTAGTAAAACACTAGAAAATAAATAACAAGTATAAACATATATCATTGTATTATATATTATATATCATATACGAAAGAGGTTGGTAAAATTTAAACATTTTTCATTAAATTATTTATAAATTTATTTGAATATGTAGTATAATTTATTATATAATTTATTATATAATTTAATAATTAAGTTATTTGAATTTACAAAATATGTTCTTATACTTCTTACTTATCTGACATATAATTTTGAAAGTATGCTGAATTTATTCATTCATTGTTTGAATTGTTTAAAATATTTGCAATAATAAAGAAAAATTACGTAATATTTAAGTTTTCTATAATTATTTCTGATCATGTAAGTTTATTTTAGCATTAATATATCATGTAATGATAATGCACCTTAAGTATATACAAGTTAAAAACTTGTTAATTTGAAGGATCTATATAATCATTGTATATTTGAAAGAGAACAGAAAAGAAAAATGTACAAATACATGGGTTGCATTTCACAAGAAAATAATTTAAATTTTTAAAAACATTTCACATATGCCATATTTACTGTCCATAAATTAATAAGATGTAACAACCCATAAAAATAATTTCTATTTACAATAACGAAATGCATAAAATAGTAATCTTGTATAGAATAATCATTCGTTACATATCACTTTGTTCCAATGATAGATTCTACGCTAAAAGAAATCGTCGATTTCTTCTCCAAGCAAGGTCCACTTTTAGTTGCAGAAATATCGTTATGATCGTTCATGGCAGAAGTAAAATTATCAAAACTTTTCTTCGTATTACGAGGTTCCGTGACTTGTTCAAACCACGGAATTGTAGAATACATACTTGGGAAAGGCTGCATCTTTTTGGAATTTTCGGATTCCTGTTTATATTCTTGATTTTGTGATAAACCATTTAATAATGGAGCGTCTGCGGTAACTATAATAAAAAGAAAAGTTACCAGTGTAAAAATGCTAATATCATAACAAATAATAAATATCAGTAAGAAAATATTATGTATGATCATACAAAAGTTTGTATGTATAAGAAACAACTGACACCATATGTGTGTTACTTTTCACGATATTCTACGTATCTATCTTATCCTAACTTAAATAATATCAAAGAATACGTGTTATTAATAAAAAAAAATAATAGTAAAACAAGAATAACAGTTCAAAAGTGAAAGAATTTAAAAATTACATTTATGCTTCCGATAAAAAATACAATTTTAAGTTAAAACTTTCTTTTCATTGATTTGTCACATAAATACTAACATGCTGCAGGTAAACCATGAATCGTCTTCAGCCCGTAAAATCCTTGGGTCACGCTGATGCTGGTCTGTGTAAAATGCAGTTGATGACGTTGGATGTTCTTCCCCCTTCGACAAACCGGTGGTTGATCGGTTTTTAATAAATATGGTGAACCGGTTGGATCAATTGGTGTGTGACAAACCGTTGAAACGTTTTCACCAAAAAAATTTCCTTGAGCCTGCTGTTGTCTTCTAAGCGCAACTTGAGCGGCCATCACCCGTTGCCTCTCGACCACCAGTAAACAGCAAGGACAACGGCAGTCCTTCCATGCACATGATCTCTTATGACCCTTCAAGCCGGAAATCACACCATGGTTCCTACATCTAGCACACTTTGGACTCCTTAAACGTTGCTCAATCCCGGCATTCACTTGACTTGAATTACCATTCTCGGTCTTCATCTCAAATCGTAGTGTTACTCTATTCAGATACTCTATTCTTCGATACCTCGCGAATAATTATTCCTTCTAATTTTTATCGTATAAAATTTATTTGCGAAACATTATAAGAATCATCATTGGTACAAACACTGCATAGAATACGTTGGCAAAACATTTCTTATTCGTATACAAGTTCGAGGCGCTTGAACGATCTCACTATGATAACGAATTATCGATTCCTCAACACGATCGGACAAATGTGATAAATATATTGTATCGTTAATAAACGCAACAATACGAATATACGGCATGAAAGAAATTACGCGAGTTACAGTTTGTTCATCGAATATCTCGCGGATATCACCCGTCAAATTGTTCCCTCGTTTTCAGCTTCATGTAAGATTCTACCCTATGAAACGGTCAGTGTACACTGCTAAATGAGTTATATACATAGAGGAATCTTTTTCCCTCGTCGAAGGAGGTGTCTCCGCATCTCCTCCTACCAATTCAAAATGTATTTTTAGAGAAGGAACATGTTGGGATTGGCTCGAAACGCGAAGAAACTCCGCCACCTTTGTGGACCAGGAGCCAATCGAGGCCAGCTTGCATCTCGTTCTTCTTATTACTGTCAACTTGTATCACCTCGAGAAAAAGGCAAAGATCTTCGTTAAACTCGTACGACTTCTTTGATTACGGCCACCGTGACGGAATCGTATGGATCTTCCGTAAGCAAATGGGCACAGAGAGGGGCTTTACGCAAAACGCCCAAGATTTATCGAGCATGACTCCTCGTGAGCATCAGAAGTACTCTTGCTTGTTCGCCCTCACCGGTAAAAAGAATCCGGACAAGACGCATCGATTTATCATCGTCCAGATGAAATTAATAAAATTGTTCCTACCAATTTGTCCAACGATCGTCGTTCTAGTTTCATATTTCAAACGTCTTATTCATGAATGCATGGATCAAAATACAACGATCAACGAGTACCGCGTCTCGTGATCTCTACGTTAACATTCAGAAAAGAAAGGAGACACGTTCCCGTTCCCTTCCGTAGTCCCCCATTCTTTGTCTCCACCCTTTGAAACCTAAACTTCACGTTTCCTCTCCGCCCAACAGAGTGTATAGATTTTTATCCGAAACAAGGGAAGAACATAACATTCGGGGTTCTCCAGCACTTAAACGCTGCCGGAGTCGAAAGAACACTCATACGTTAAGAAAACATACTCGAAACTAATATTAACTGTGCGTTGGCAACATCCGAGAGGATCGTATTAACGAGCTCTTAAAGCAAGATCACAGAAAGAATGCCATGTGGCCGCAGCTGGCGGTGTATACCGTTGTTAGTCGAACGTGATTCTCTCTCTTCTATTTTTGCAGTACGCAATAGGACGAAAAGGGGCAGGAAGATTGCACTATCCTTCGCTTTCCGATACTTGAACGATATTATATTTTTAGTTGTAACCGAAAGTGAGCTCGTCTTCTTGGACACTCGATGACGTTGTACGCACGAGCTTTAGTAGCCATGTTCCACGTATAAATCGGAAAGCCGCCAAATATTCGCATTCGATCAATCTCAAGTAAAATCATAAGTAGTATACCCATGACTGAAGGAACGTATTCCTTTTTCTTCTTTTATTTCTTTTTTTTTCTTTCAGTACGGAAAAGGAAATGACAACGTCTGTTAAAGGAGCTTTTTTCTGCAGACGATGAAAGGAACGAACGATCAGACAAGTTTAAATTTACATCCCTGCCGGTAGGCACGCGTGAAACGTACCGAGGAATTTGCCCTAATGAGCGTGGAACGAAGGGGTGTCACTTTAGACGTTCCTCCCTTTTTCCCATCGGCATGAACAGCTTTGCTCGAGGGTGTTGTCAGTACGGCAAATATGTTGACAGGTCATTCAACATCCTTCCACCGTTAGACCATGGCGAATCCTCGTTGAAGATGCGTGACCGAAGAGATGTTGCACCTCGGAATATCCATAGCTAAGATTGGCTCAGCTCCGGGCTTTCCTGCCGAAAACACCGTGTCCTGGACCAGAAATTTTCACGGCAGAATTGAGCTATCTTTCGTTCGAAGTAAGAGATCATTTTGAAATTAATCCAGAATGGCGGTAGAGAAAGAAGGAAGTACATGCTAGCGGGATAAAAATGGAGGTGGCTGAAATCGAGTATTAAGAGTAGGCAACGGCCTTGCTTTCCTGACAACTTTGACATTTGCAAATCGACGCACTTTGCATTTGTTCGCGGTACAGGGGCTGTACGCGAAGCGCGGTTACCCGAAGTCCTGGTATACGAAAATTAATAAATCCATCAATCTGACAGTTGCAAAAGCCCCTCACAGTTGAAATTCTTGCGCGTGCCTCTAAAACCCGCGCTCGCCGGAAGAAGAAACGAAGCATGTGCGACTCGAAGTTGCAAACATGTTATGTAATTCAAAATTCAAACGATAAATCAAGCGAACAAAACATCACGACAACGAACAACTAACCCCTCCCGCAAGATTCGTGGTACCCGGTCAAATTTACGAAACATTGTTGCCACGAAGTTTTTGTAATGCGATCGTTCACGAGACCTGTTCACGATCATCCCTCGACTATAGATTTCTTTTAATTGATCTAAGGTAAGTATCGTTACGAGCATTCGATTCACGATCAAGTGGCCTTTCGTCGAGATGAAAACGCGTTAGAAGGTACTCTGCTGAAATTTGAGGAAAAATTTTGCAAGGAAATGGTGACACTTTCTCATTTTCCTCACGTAGCTGTAACGTTGGCGAAGAACCAGTGATCATACTCAATTGCGATGCCCCATTGTACTACCAATTTCGTTTGGTATTTAGGCAAGTTTATCGCTGGTGTCACGGGAATGTTCTTCTTCTACGTGGTCTTCTTGAAAGAGAAGTAAATTTCAGCCATGAAAGCGAACCGAGAAAGCAAACATTTCGACCATAAAAATACGTGTGTTACAGAGAATACAGTTGCCTGTGTAGAGCAAGAATGAGAGAATCCTTACGGAACAGAGGGGAAAAGTGAGTCACGTTGGTCATACGTGCGAGATTTCTCCAAGGACTTTTTCCTATTGTTCCGTGTGTGTATACACGTATATACGTGTCCGTATATACATATGTATATAGAAAATGTAGAATCAATTGTAAAATCCTAAAGAATATCACGCGTCGTATGACCAGCATTATCATGTGCGTAGCATAATCATAAGTTCTAATACTTAGTACTAATTCCTGCCCTTTAGACGACCAGGCAGATGTGACTGCAAAGAAGGGTAAGCATTAGTAACAATCTTTTAAAGATTATTCCTTTAAAAAAATTGAAAATTAAATACAAACTTCAGTGAACTCCTTACAGAGCACGGACCAAAGTCTATGCTTGCGGCTGTAAGAAACGTTTGGACATGTAAGAACGTACCATTTTAACAACGATCATATGTTCAATTTTACTTGATATAATTTTGGAAAAAATGACATACGACTTTCAGGGTATACGAAGATGCAGGACTGGTTTCTCGAGAACGATCCAGCGATTATATCGGAGACTGCACTTGCGCTCAAAAGAGGCCTACCTAAAAATGACAATGGTAATTTCGACTTCTCCAGCAAATCGCTGTAAGTCTTGCCATCGTGAATAATTTTCACGGTATAACAGCTCAATGATCTCGTGGTTGCTTCGATTACAGGAGTATCATCGATAAATTGCATGTACTGTGTAAGTCAACTGGCTAATCGGAAAATCAAGGTAAACTAAAACGTGTTACGTAGTAAAATGTAATCGTATTATTCTACTATACACATCGTGATAACCTTATTATTCGCGAATTAGCTCACAGAATCAAACACGAGCGTACGAAGGAAACGGTCAGGCAGATATTGTCTTTTTCGCCATTGCAGTGGACTCGTATGCGCTCAAAAGTTAATGAAAAGAAGAAAAAACAGACTTCATTGTGTTCACCTACGCGTTTCTCAAGATGTCGTTTCTGATTATTGGAAAGCGTGTTACAAATCCATGAATAATAGCGATGCTAACGATGAAAAATTGCAACACGAGAACAGAGACACGGAAGAAAAAGCTATAAAAGTCGTACATGAATATAAAGGAAAAGTTTTAAACGTACACTATCGCAATTGCGAAGAAAAAGAAAAGAGAGAAGATATCTCGAACGAGAACGATAAATATTTGGCAACAGAGATTCGTTCGAAATTGTGCACCGATGAAAAGGATATAGATTTGAAATCCGTGATTAAATCTTCACCTATCTGTGTTGATAATACTGATTGTAATATCACCCGATTATCTCCACACGCTATTAGAGCTAAATGCGATGAAAAGGAAAATGAAAAATCAAGATGCGATAGCGACGCGCTAGTTTTATCGAATCTGGCTAATAAGGGTATTTTTGATTCTCTAGAAAAGAGGAACAGTTCGAGTAAAATTAACAAAGTAGATACATCGCGGGAATGCTCGTGGAAAACTACAAATAAAAAGTATTCGCCAAGCGACTCGAGCTTCAAAGAAACCATTACTACGGACAATCGTATAGATTCCTTTTTGCATCACAACGCGCGGAAGAAAGAAACTAAAAAAAGAATACAGAAAGATTACTTGGAAACTGATAAAACTGTGGAATTAAAATTGGCTCCTAAGTCGGAAATGGAGAACACAAAGAAAGTTAATTTGCATCGTGAAGCACATGTTAATAACATAGTAAATAATTTCTTGGACGATGTACGGGTATTTTCCTTAAAAGGAAAGCAACAATACAATTTAAAATATCCCGCAAATAAAAATCAATCGGCTTCAGGATTGCAAAAGAAATGCCCGTGTCGGAATACTGATATTAATTCAAACGTGCAACAAAAAGGCACCTTCTCAGCTAGTTGGCACAAAAATAGAATGTATCAGAGAAAGTCGTTAAAATCTCCTTGTCAGAGATGTTACAACACAAAGTTAGTTATGTCACCTTTTTAACGTTGAAATCTGATGTAATACAATTTTGTTTTCGTTATTATAAAATGATACTTCACTTTTCAGAGTACGTAATCCTTATGGTCCGCAATGGAGCAGCGCTAGAAAACCATCTTTATCGCAATTACAGCCATATTTTTCGTTTCAACCGCAGTACAATATGCTAGATACACGTTTAGAATCTCCGAGAAAAAATTACCCGTGTGAATGTCCAAAGATGAAGAAGAAATTTGATTCAATGGCTGATCATGAATTTGTCTTGTCTCGTGAAACTCGTTCGCTCAAGTACAAACCACAATCGTTGCTATCCAAAGAGGAACCGACTTTGGTCATCTTTAGAAACAGTAAATCCTATAAATCAAGAAATTCAGCAAATTCGGCGTACAGTTCATCGATCATCTCTACCGACACTGAGGGATCTATTCATGACAATTTAGTTACATGCCGATGTTCAACTTATAAGTCATCATATTATAAGATGCCTTCGAGTGATCGATATAAATATATGTATAGTACCAAAATAGATGCTACTTCCCCATCTTTGTCTTCATCATCGAGTGTATCATTATGCAAACGATGTCATTCTTTGGCAATATTGTCGCAAAATTCTGTTTATCATAAACGAGAACCGATTTCTTCCTCTTCGTACACGAATGTTCAAAGGAAGAGGAAAAGATACTCCAAAAATGAGAAAAAAACAAGCACATATCTGTCTTCAACCTCGTGTTCATGTTCGTTGTCGTCACTGTCAACATTCAAAGATTACAGTTTTGACGAAACAGACAGAGAAACAAGGCAAGGTGAAAAATTGTGCTGGAAACCAATATCTCATGCAGAGAAAAAGAAAATAGTATGCAGAGACGAACATCACGTTAGATGGAATATTAAGAATACATATTAAAAATAGTAAAAGTGAAGAGAAGAAAACGAATGACTGCAATAATTAGTACAAAAAAAGAATAGAGATTATCGATGTAAGAAATATGTTTTAGTCATAGGAGCGCGTACAAAAATTACAATCACGCTTTATGCATCGATATTATTTAAAGGAAAAGTTAACGCCGGCGCGAAATAACGTTTATAAAGTAACGTTTGCAACTTCTATTTTTTTAGCAGAACCATCGATAAACGCAGAATTCAAGCGTGAACGTGGTTAAATCATAAATTTATCGTGTGACGATGAAACGTAAGCAACAACAGTAACGAGTACACGTAATTGGCAGGTACCGAGTTAGCACTAAAGCTCCGTGAATAAATTGGACGTGGTGCAAAGGAGTGACGCGTCCCGTTGGACGCTTGGAAAATCTGAAACTCGATTAATATGCGTCGTGTCCGTAGGTGAAGAGTCTATAAGTAGATCTTCTACGGACACGAACGTCAGTCATATTCATATATTATGTTCTGACCTGGTAGACGAACCTTCCTTTACGCTAACGAGATATCCGCAATGGTTAACAATATACATACATCATGCGATGCCACGATATACGTCTTTGCCAAAAATTTCAACTACAATTTATTCGACATGGAAAGAGTCAAAAGATTCTTTTATTATGTGCATTCGTAGGCCCTTGAATTCAGAGGCTTTTCTTTTTACTATTACTAGATTATGTATATGCACGTATTTTATTTGATAAAAATGTATCTTCTTAATATTGTGATGAATCATTTTTCATGTCTTTAGAAAAGTTAAATAAAGCTTGCTTGACATTATCATTGTGTCGTTGTTATACTTATGAAATATGATATGAATTTTTTTTGCAAGTCAGAAATACAAGTTATAAACAGAAATGATTGTTTAGATTGAGAATTTCAGAATGACGATTCTCGTCTTCATATTGATGTTTGTGCGTACGAAGTCTTTTTCCAAAGTTCTCTCATCTTAATCTACTCGAGAATCTTTCTGAATGGCAGGCTTTGTAAAGGAAACGTCGCAGCTGCGTCCCTTTCGCCTCGTATTTTGCACGCATTCCAATGAAATAAAACGAGAGCAGTAAGGGTGCCGACTTCAACCAAGAAGAAATATTTCGAAACGGGATGTTAAATGAGCGAACTGTCCAACTGTCACTCCACCTAGTACCCAGTTTCTTTAGCACTTAACGAAAATATGAGCCAAAATGAATCTATATATTTTCGGTGTTCATGTTACAAATATACACGTAACAGTTATATGTTAAATTTTTTTTGTTAAAGACTTAATTCTAAAATTATATTAACATTCTTATTTATCATTTTAATTTCGAAGAAAAGCAGAACTGTATAGTTCAATTTATAAATATGCTTTCAAATGAATTGCATTATTTGAAAACATGAATCATATACAATTTAATACATGGGTATTTAAAAATCATTTAATATATTATTCTTTACTGAATTAGATATTCAGAATAAGGAATAATCCTTTTATGTTTAAAACACTGCTCAATCCATTCGTTTTTAATAATTGTTAACGTTTGTGACTTACTGCCAATCAAATTTTGAAGTTCAGGGTCAATGGAATTATTATTGATAAAAATGTTTGTCACAGAATCGTCTATAACTTCTCTGATAGTTCCAGCCATAAAACGAAATACAAATTTTGACAAGTCTGACTGATCACTAAAGTATCCCACAATACCACGAAATACAGAATAAGGTGATATATTGCTATCAAACAGTTCTTGATCTATTTTTTCTATTTCTGTATAATCAAGTTTAGCATTTTCCACCTAAAATAATTTTATATATAATTAAAATTATAAAAATTTGTTTACAGAAAAATAAGTAATTGAATGTAATACCGTCTTTTCAACTTTCTTGAATGAACGTAATAAACTCTCCTCGTTAGCATCTATGGTATAGTGATCATAATACTCGTCGTAATAATATTCTAATCGCCGTTTTGTTGAATCGCGACTAGATATCAAATCCCATGGCAAAAAGTCTTGCAAAGATGACCAATTTTCTTCTTTAATAACTCGTTTAAACCAATCCAATGTCACCACATCGTACATTTTACTTTGTATAATATTATTTGCTCTTGCCTACAAAATATTATTTGATATATTGAATATTACAGGAATATTAATATTAATTATTACATCAAAAATAGAATATAAGTAATATATTTACCGTTTTAACATTACCAACAATAACACAGTAATTTTCCTTTAAAGGAGTTTGTACAACTTTTGCTCTATGTTGCAAAAGAATTTTTTCAATTTGTTCTTTAGGTAACTCATCATCGCCATTTATCACACAAATTTCTTTATCATCGAAAAGTCGGGTAAGATGAATCGGCGGATTGTCAGAAATGTTTGCCTTCATTGATTTTTCTAAATCTTTTATTGAACGTTGTTTAGTTGTCTTACGTACTTTAATTTCAGGTACTTCTTTTATATCTTCGTAACATACTCCTCGTTTTGTTAATTTTTGAATTGGTCTTCTATCCTAAATAGTAATTAAATACATTGTTTATGTTATGATAAAACATAAAACATTCAATCATATTACATAAAACATCAATTATACACCTTAATTAATGATGTTAAGTCAGTAGTTGTACAAACGTTATACCATGGTTTATCAGTTCTAACGCTTGTAACTCTAGGAAATCGTAAACTGTATTTGGTTGGATAATCGCTACTTTGTATTATTTCTGTTGCTTTTATAGTCAAAATAATAGAATTTTCAGGACGAATCCATAAATTTGGCGATTTAGCACCCTAAGACATTAAAATTAATGAGGTATACAATACTATAATACAATACTAGAAAATTGTAAAATTAATATTTATTCCATGTTTACTCACTTTAGGAGGAAACACATTCTCAGGGCACTGTGTTTGCCATTTGCTTTCAAATATTTTCATAAGTTCTTTTAATGTATCCATAGAAAGACCATTGCTAACTGATACCACAGAGAAAAATTTTGTGGGATTTCCACCAGGAATATCTGGTATAGAAGCTACTCCCATTAGAAAGCTTTTTATTAAACCCATATATTTTCCATCACCTTCATATCCACCAAGAATAATTAAATCTAAATCTTGTACAAGACCTTCAGAATACTGAAAAATTATTTACAATGACAAAAGAAACATAACAATGTAAACAAATATTTTATAGAATATTACTTCAGCTTTTATTTTGTAACATCCAGTACCATTTCGTATATTTTGTTTATATTTACTATCACATTTTTTTACTACAATTCCTTCTTCCTTACTTTCAATACATTCGTTAAATATCTTACATAATTCCTCACTGAAAAACAAAAATTATAATGTCGTATGAAAAACGTTTTTTTCTAATTGTCAATAAAAGTTAATTACCTCTTGGAAATTCTAGTAGATTTACATAATAAAAGACAATCCTCCTCTTCCTTAAATACATCTTTTAAAATTTCAAGCCTTTTTTCATAGGGTTCATTATTATACAAAGTATCATTACACATAATAACATCAAATGCAACAAAACATGGCTGATAATGACTATTTTCTGAGAGCTTTTTAACATCGTAGTTCATACCTTTTGAACCTAATAATTTCTTCTCTTTATGCCAACCTAATAATTCACCATCTAAAATTATTGACTTTATTTGTGGATTTAACAATCGACTAAATACACTACTCATAAAACCTGAAATATGCATAATTTTAATAGCATTACATGGATCATATTTCATATCTTCGTATCTCATAAAAATATCAATTTAATTTAATTCATAATATGTTCTAATTAAATTTTAACATGTATACACCTGAAGAACTAGTTTTTCCATAACCAGGATTATTTGTAATATCATATCCTTGTCTTGTAAAATACATATATTTGCCATCTTTCATATGTATTTGAGATCGTTCACCATCATATTTGCATTGCACAAAATATTGTTCTCCTTCATTAAACAATTTTTCAATATCCTCAATTTGACAATACTCTAATAACATAGGTTTAAAATGAGAAAAAACTTGAATGTCATGATGATATCTCATTTGAGGATCAGCCAGTGTATCACAAACTTGTCGCAAATTAAAACATACATCAAATAGTGAATTTGCATCTACATGAAAAACTAAAAAAATTTATTATTATCAAATTAATTTATTCCCAAACATTTATTACTTTATTTTTGGAAAATAGTGCATAAAAATAAACCTTGGAATATTCTTTTTCTTGTAATACCAAGCTTTAAATTTTTTAAAACAATTCGGGTTATCCATTTGAACTCTAATGAGTTTGTTTTTTCTATTAAAATCTTAAATATTTCATCTTTATATCGATCAGTTTCATTTTTTGCCGATATATTATCAAGAAATAAATTAATTTGTTCTATTGTAAAATCAGAACTTTTACGCGGTAAACGATTTTGTAAAATATGATAAGCTTTTTCAGCGAAATCACGTCCTGCGATCTTTTTTCCAGTTACAGTTCTAAAACAACGAGTTTTATTTAACATTTATAATGATAGCATATTATATTTAAAAAAAAGAAATAATATTAACTAATAATCTTACTTGTATTGTTTCAGTTTATTTGCATCTTTACTGTCTTTCCCCAAGCAAAATACACGAATATAGAGAGCAATAAGGGTTTTTTCTTTTAAGTTATGCGCTCCACGTTCTCGTTCAAGGTCCGGTAAAATTAATCTTAATACAGGAAAGAATGAAACATCCTATAAAAGAAGTTTAATAAAGTATTATAATTTTTACACTTCTTAATAATTATAAGCGAAAAAATTTTAATTAAACAATTAAAATTATAAATATTAAAATATTACCGCATCCGAAAACTCTGTTTTTAATTTATGACTTATAATACGACATTCCTGGATAAATCGCTCCAATATATCAGCTTTCTTAGCAATACGTGCTTTAGATACTTCTTCCAGCACATTACATAATTTCTTAAATTCAATTTTATTAGCTAATGTTGGATTCATTTTGTTTCTGTGTGGAAAGAAGAAAAACAATTAATCACTTAAAAAATAATAACAATATAAAATTTAAAAGAAAATGGTTAATTCATAAAAATGCTTAAATTTCTATCAAACATTTGCATATTTATTTATAGTATTGTATTTTATGTTACATGAAAAGTTTTAATACTTTTTAAAACAGACAATTATCTTATAGATAATAAAGCATATAAATTAACTGTAAATTAACATTTTTAAACTAAACTGTAATGTACTTTTCTAGAAACATTCTTGCTAGTAAATAATTTTCAGACTGTAAATAAATAAGATGTAAATTAAATGCAGCTTCTTTTTTTAAATCTAAAAGATGTGAGTTCTTTTTAACTAAATTTCCAGGATCTTTATCAAGTACTAATTTGTAAAAATATACTGCTGCTGGTAATAAACCAATTTGATGAAATGCACGACCCATATTGTAGCATGCTTCTTGTTCACCGTCTTCGTTGCGTAGTTGAGAATACTTCTTCAAAAAAGCAATAGCTAAAACAGAATATAACAAATATAAAACATATATTTATTAAGACTTTAAATATTTATAAATATATCTCTTAAGAGGATTATTAATTCAAAATATATCATAAATTCTTATATACTAAATATTACAAATTATGAACTGCAATTACCTTGAATTACAAGTTGATTTTTTTTAGCAGATAATTTTTGACATGCCATTTGTAATAAAGTTACACCAATAAGTAATGCCAATAAAGCACTAGGCACTACTTTGAAAAGAGAAATATAATCATTGAGGGCATATTTATAAGTTCCCGAAATAAGACAATTGTTTGCATGCATTATATTTAAATAAGAAAACACATCTTCTCTTCCAAGAAGACGCATTATAAATCTATTATGTCTAGAATCTTCTGCTTTTTGTACAATAATATTTAATAAATTCCAAGAATTTGGTTTTTGACAGACACGTATTAATTGTCGCACAATATTATATCCATGGTAAGAATCATTATTATAAATACAAGAAAGTAAACATAAAAACATTATATGAGAATTTCGTTTTTCAAATCTTTTTGATGTTAAAGCACTAAAGCAGATTCTTTGTAAGAATCCATATTTTTTTAGTGTACAAGCTAATTTGCACATTTGCAAAAGTAAAAGAAATTCTTTCTTCTCACTTAATTCCGTATTATTTAGAAACGACGGTGCATTTCCTTCTTCAAGTTTTTCTCCACGAGATAGACGATGAAGTTGCAATGTTTCTAAACGTTGTCGTACTACATATGCTCTAGTTAAAGCATTTAATTCAACTTTGTTTCTTATATTTGCACAATGTCTAGAGAAGAGTAACATACCAGACTGAAGATATTCATCATATCTTTTTACTTTGAAAAGAAGTAATGTCCTTTGATAAATTACTTGTGGATCCAAAGTATCTGATTCTGGATCTTGATCAAGAACTTCTATTGCTTTGTTATATTGACCTTTTAATTGATATAGTTTAGCTAATGCTGTCCTTGCACCTAAATGTTGAGGTGATAACTTTCTAACAACCTCATAAGATTTTATTGCTTTTTTTAAATCTTTACAACCAACCCAACATTCTGCATGTCGTAACCATACTGCAGCTAAACTGTAATTATTACTATTAACTAAAGGCTCCAACAACATTAAAGCATGGTCAAACTCTTTTTTTCCCATTAAAGCTTCTGCTATATCTAAAAAAAGATCACCAGAAATTTCTGGATTTTCATATAAGTAAAATTTAGGTAAAAGGTGTTCAGCTAATTTCATTTGATGCAATTCAATAAGTGTTATAAGAAATTTTGCTTTCAAATCAACAACAACATCATCTGGTACCCCACAAGATTCTATTTCACATATATTGCAATCTACTGATTCTTCTTCCTTTTCATTTCCACACTTCTTCACTACTACATCAGTATTTTGTTTATCATTAGTAATTTTATATTTTACCCAAATACTAGTGTACATAGTTAAAATATTTAAACATCTTTTAAACTTTTTTAATGCTATTAATATTTCCGTCATGATATTAACTTCTTCTAAAGTGATAAAACTGGGACATTTGGAAAAAATATTTTCCATTGCTTCTAATGCTTGTTCATTATTATTTTCTTCCATATATCGTTTGGCTAACATTTTAGCATACTTAATTATATGTTCACCATCTTCAGGTTCCAATTGATGAATTAATTTTAAAAATCCTTTTAAATAAGCTCTTTTATCTCCATTACGATCTAAGAGTCGCGCTCGTGTTTCATATAAATTTATATCTTTTGGACTTGCTTGAATTGCTTTGTTATAACATGTTATAGCTTGTTTTATATTTCCACTTTCCAGAGACATGTTAGCCAATCTCACCCATTGATCAGCATCTTTTGGACTAAGATGTGCTGCTATCAAAGCAAATTGTAATGACTTTTCTGGTTGATCTGTTTCATATATCATTGCCAATGTATGAAATGGTTCTGGAGCACTTGGCACTTGTCTATAGAAAAATTGAAGAATTCATATTGCTTCATTCACTATTTAAAATTAACAAATTGTTATAGTGAAAAATACACCTGCCTAATTATTTCCATACATATCTGAGCAGCTAATTCTGTATTTCCTCTAGCATATCTTAAATTTGCTTCACCCATAAGACCTTGCAGAACTGGAGGAAGTGTCCTCTTTTTTCGTTTATAACGTACCTGTCCTCCACTTTGTGACTTTAATACTTTACAATGAATTGTTTTATTTGTTTCTGTTCCTTCATTTTCAATATCATTTCTAAAAATAGAAATGAGAAATATGAAGTTTATTTAGTCTATGTTTTACGAAGACATAAAAATCCATATTAGATTACTACCTAGAAAAGTCAAATTCTGCAGTTTCTAAATCTACATCTTGATCCATTCTAGAAGAATACTCAGAAAATGTTAACTCTCCATTTAAAAATTGCTTTGTTAATTGATTTTCTTCATCTACAGTCAATAATATATCTTGATCTTCTATCTCTGTGGTAATATCCATAGCAGAAGTGCTTTGTTCAGAATAAACATCGGATATAATATTTTGTGATACATCTTCTATTTCTAAAGCTTTTGCTTCAACAAATTCTGTCATATCAACATTCATGTTATTTAAAGCATTTTCATCTAATTCTTCTATAATTACTGGAGCTATAGCATTTTTCTTATCAAATGCCATTTTTTTTTTTTGATCTGGTAATGGAATATTAATTTCAATAAGTTCTGCTTGATCCGTAATATTATATAGACTTAATGCCATTATATAATTATTTATTTTTTAATTATATCACAGAACACTAAAATAAATATGAAAACACTAAAATAAAGTACCATTATGTCCAATGGTACATTAAACACAGATAAATAGAATTGATAAAGTTTTCATACGTATAACAAAGTACAAAGATACAAATAATAAAAAATACATTTATTTTTATATTTTATAAAAAATACTCCAAAGATGTTAAAAATATTTTTAAATAATTAAAAATATAATTATTTCTTAATGATACATTTAAACTTTATTTATGTATTTTACATATTAAAAAAATATTACTTTTTAAATATATAAAAGTTAATATTGATAATCACTTATCACGTTAAATATAAATATCATACAAATATAGGATCACACCATCAAAACACTATTTATATAACATTATTAATTATCTAAACACATTGATATTCATATACCTATATTATAAATTAAATATTCATAAAAAATAGATGTACATTAAAGGTTAAGTTACCAATAAATTGTTTACCTTTTGTTGAATTTCATATAAAGTACTTAATATTATATTTACTGCACAAATATAACTATATAAACATAAATTTATCTTAAACACAATTAATATATCTTTATTTTTGTATTGTCTGTAAAATAACAACCCATACTTTTGATATTGACATCATCACTCTACAATGTGAAGTTCTGTAAACAGTACGATAGTAAACTACATTATGATTTGTTTGTCCGCTATTCATTGGTACAATTTATATACAATACAGTATATAAGTTGTAATTCAGAGAAGTAAGGGACGTAAAAATATTAAATGAAAATGAATGTTATGAATACTTTAATCTTTGATTTAAAGTGGATTTTTATTTTAAGAACGTTAAGGTTATGACATCAAAACAAGGTTTTAACAATAAAAAACGTCTTTATATTGTTTTTAGATTTCTTAGATATTAACTAAATAAGAAATTGTTATATTACCTTGTTATTCTTCGATACGTTAAAAAGAAATATGGTCCGGAAAAACACAATTTAATAAATTATGTCTTTCTATTACATGTAAGTTTTATAAAGTATAATGTGCATAAATTTCGATGAATACGATCATTTTTCGATAAACCTATATTTTAATTTTTGATATAATTTTTAAATGTGAATAAAAATGATTAAACTTGAGAAAATGTTTCCTGTGTTACATGTTTTATAATAATATTCTACAGTAATTTATTTTTTTCTTTTTGTTCATTACTAGTTCATGTCATACATTATCACAAAATAAATTTATTTATAAAAATAAATAAATAAATTTACAAATTATATGTGAATATCATATTAACTACCTTACATATTTTTCAGCTGATATTAATAGTATGAAGCCACACACATGTTGGCTATATGTCTCTTTATTATTACTACTTAATATTGTAACTGAATCATCCTGTAATCAATTAAACTGTTCATCAGGAAACAACGATTCCATAAACTCTGAATTTAATAAAATAACTAAAGTACCATGCCATGGCAATAGTGCTAAACAAGTAAAAGTCCATTTTTCCAGCAGAATTATTGAAAATGAATATATTGTTGCATTTAAAGGATATTATAAACCGCATACACGTGAAAATTATATAAAGGCTGCATTAAATTCATCTGGTATTCATAATTGGAAAATTTTATTTCGCAACAACTTAGCTAGTACTTATCCAAGTGACTTTGATGTTGTACTCTTGAAAGAAACAGATAAGCATAATGGTCTTGATGCTTTAACTGATCATCCTCTCATTAGAAGAGTAACTCCTCAGAGGCTTGTACAAAGAAGTTTGAAATTTGTTAATACATCAGAATATGCTGATTTTCCAGAATATAAAAATTTCAAAAGAAAAATTAATAATTATGTGAGTTTTTCTATTAAACATTTAAATTTGTATAATCAGTTATGATAGAAAATTTATTTATTATGATTTATACTGAATTTTAGAACAATCAGTTTTGGCAATCAACCAATCGTCATACATCACGTAGATTATTAAGAGCTATACCAAGACAAATTACAAGTATACTGCAAGCCGATGCTCTATGGGGTATGGGTGTTACTGGAAATGGTGTCAAAGTATGAAGGACAAAGTTCCAAGACATGTTTTAAATAAAATAAAATATTCAAGATTGAAATACTATATATTATAACAATTATTGTTAGGTAGCAATATTTGACACAGGATTAGCAGCTAGTCATCCACATTTCAAAAAAATTAAAGAACGTTCAAATTGGACAAATGAAAAGACATTAGAAGATGGTTTAGGTCATGGGACATTTGTAGCTGGAGTTATTGCATCATCTTGTATTGATTGTCTTGGTTTCGCACCAGATGCTGAACTTCACATTTTTCGTGTTTTTACTAATACTCAGGTATGTTTATAATTATATTTAACATAACGATTTTTTATTTAATTCAAAATATAATAAATTTTTTTGCTTTTCATAGGTATCATATACATCATGGTTTTTGGATGCATTCAATTATGCTATTCTTACAAAAGTTACAGTATTGAATCTAAGTATTGGAGGACCAGATTTTATGGATCATCCATTTGTTGATAAAGTATGGGAATTAACAGCAAATGGTGTAATTATGGTTTCTGCAATTGGTAATGATGGACCTTTGTATGGGTAAAGAATTTAATATCTTGTTTTATTTATTTTTTTTTAATTTCATAATCAATAAATTCAATCTTTTTAAATATAGTACTTTAAATAATCCTGCGGATCAGATGGATGTCATTGGAGTAGGTGGAATTAATTGGGAGGATCAAATAGCAAGATTTTCATCACGTGGTATGACAACATGGGAGTTACCATCTGGATATGGAAGAGTAAAACCTGATTTAGTTACATATGGATCAGAAGTACGAGGCTCTGCATTACAAGCTGGTTGTAGAACCTTATCTGGAACTTCTGTTGCTAGTCCTGTTGTTGCTGGAGCTGTAGCACTGTTAGCTAGTGGATTTGTACAAATAGATGGATCTCAACCAGTTAAACAAAGAGTAAGTACATAACAAAGTTTTATTTTCCTGTATCTTCATCTTCACTAAATATTAAAATCATATTTACAAGTAAAAATTTAATAAAAAAATTACTATTTAAGATAACTCCAGCAAGTATGAAACAAGCATTACTTGGGTCTGCACGTCGTTTATCTGGAGTTGGTATGTTTGAACAAGGTGCTGGGAAGTTAGATCTTTTGCGAGCATTTCATTTTTTACGTTCGTATACACCAGTTGCTACACTTAGTCCAAGGTAATTGCTTTCTTTTAGTTTTAATATTAACTGCGATATATAATATAATACCATATATAATATGATATAATGCATAAATTATGATACATTATCAGTTATATAGACCTAACTGAATGTCAGTATATGTGGCCATACTGTACACAAGCTGTATATCATACTGGTATGCCCACAATTGTAAATATAACTATAATAAATGGCTTGGGAGTATCTGGACATGTAACAGATCTTGTATGGCATCCGTATACAGGCAATGGTAATGGTGAGCGAATCGATATATCAGTAACTTATAGTGACGTTCTTTGGCCATGGTCTGGGTGGTTAGCAATTGCTATAACAGTTCCACCATCTGCTCGTAGCTGGCAAGGCATAGCACAAGGTATAAATTATTTTCTTTGTTTTTAAATATATTTTTAATATTAAAAAATATCTTCTATAATAAGAATTTTATATGTAGGTCATATATCTATTACAATTGAATCACCACCAAGTGATGGAGAAGAAAAAGTTAGACAATCTAAAATAGAATTACCTTTGAAAGCAAAAGTTATTCCTACACCTCCACGTCAGTAAGTGTAGAAAAAATACTTTGACTATATTGTAGAACTATATGATATAATTAAAATTGTATAATATTTACTTAATAGTAAACGTATTCTATGGGATCAATTTCACAATCTACGTTATCCCCCGGGATACTTTCCACGAGACGATTTGCGTGCGAAGAATGACCCACTTGATTGGAATGGAGACCATATCCACACTAATTTTAAAGATATGTATCAGCATTTACGTAATGCTGGTTACTATTTAGAAGTACTTGGTGCTCCATTCACTTGTTTCAATGCTAAGAGCTATGGTACTTTACTTATTGTCGATAGCGAAGAAGAATTTTTTCCTGAAGAGGTAATATTACATGTAATACAATGTTCAATAACTTATTTTCTGATAACATTTAATTAATATTAAGTTTACAATAAATTGTGTTATAGATAACTAAATTAAGGAGAGATGTAGAAGAGGAAGGTCTCTCTGTAGTTATATTTGCAGATTGGTATAACGTCACTGTTATGAGGAAAGTAAAATTTTATGATGAAAATACTCGACAATGGTGGATACCAGATACAGGAGGTGCAAACGTGCCAGCATTGAATGATTTACTATATTCCAACTGGGGAATTGCATTTAGTGACCAAGTACGCAATGGCCAATTTATTCTTGGTCAACACCCACCTGTGACTTTTGCTTCTGGAACTACAATTACTCGGTATAAAAGAATAATTCAATTATTTTATTTACACATTACTGTCCTTAATAATCAACTACAATATATTTTTATATTTATTAAGGTTTCCAAAGGATGGAGTTATTCTTTATGTAGAATTACACGATCAAGGACAAGAACTTTTACTTGAATCAGAATCAAGATCTACAATGGCCGTGCCAATTCTTGGCCTCTTCCAAACTAATGGTCATATAAATTTGAATGAAATGTATAACGATGACCACAGAAATAACATGATTGTAGAAAAAGAAAATATGGAAAAAAATAATGTAAAAGAGCAAGCAAATATTGTGCCAGGTAGAATTGTAGTATATGGAGATTCAAACTGTGTTGATGACAGTCATTTACAAAAACGTATGTTCCTTTTATAAAATTTTCAACTGAATCGTATTATTTTCTAATATAAATTAACTTATTTTTAGCATGTTTTTGGATGCTTGATGCTATATTAGAGTACACAACAACGGGACATATCGCAACTGTTTTTACAGATGAAAGTCAGGCTAAGGCAAAAGTTCTTGAAAAATCTAGTATCTTAGACAGTAATGAATTACCGCAACGTATGGACGGAAGTTATTTAAAACGTCATAGTAAAGTACTACTGCCTGAAAATACTAAAGCTGGTCATATTAGACCACTTCCATCTTGTCCTACTATTACTCCTGCTACTCCAAAACCTCTAAATGAATCTATCCCTATGTAAGTTACTATAAATTTTAATAATTTTTATTAAATAAATAAATTTAATAAACTGTAACTTTAATTCTATTGCAGAAATCTTTATAAACCTCAAAAATTATTGTCTGTTGGAGACACAATAATTGCAATAAATCCAGTTCTGCAAGATTCAAGTCCATTGTGGCTTAGAAGACGTGTTGGTGGTGCAAATATTCCTACTTGGCATCATGCAGAGCGGAATAATATTGATGAATTAAAACAAAATGATCAAGAAAATAGTATAATATTTATAAATAAATGGAGTTACATAGCAGGAATAATAATTGTAGGGAGTATTTTCCTCTACTTGCTAAATCGATGGAATTGCTTAATAACAAAAAGACATTCTCGAAGAAAACGAACAGTTGGTAGATTACGTAGAGTTATTCAAACAATTTCTCTACGCAGAGTGCCTCAAATGTGACTGTGTATTTGACAAACTTTTAACTAATGCAAGATAATATTTAATTATCTGTGGTAAACGCTTAAAAATATAACAAACTATATTATGTGCCTTTAAATATATAGTACTCAACATAAATTTAAAAGTTATATAAATTATTTTGATAAATTTTATGTTGTTAGATAATTTCGAATAGCGCAAATTTCTGTTGATTTACGAACATAAAGTGCAAAATTATTTTATTATTTCTTTTATTAACCGCATATATATATAAAAATACATATATATTAAGGTACGTTACTAAAATGCATGAAACAAAGTAAATGTATATTTGCACGGTAAATTTAAATATTATTTTAGATTTAATATTGATAATATTTTATATGTCTGTATTTTTTCCAAATATTTTAATATTTTAATTAACAAAACACTCATTTGTTTTAAGTGAAGAAATACATATACAAAAAATATTAACTTATCATTAATTTGTGATTGTAATAATTATTAAGTTTTGTATAATGATATCATCAACCATTTTTGTTACAAACAAGTAATAATATAATATTATTAGCCCAAAAATGTTACTTTGTAATATAGACTATAAAAAAATTCCATATAATAAAACTGGTTTTATATATAAAATTATCTATTTAACGATATGGGGACATTTTAGCGTTTACAGTGTGTTACAATTATTTTTATATATAATGTCTGTTACACATAAGATTAATTGTTTTGAAAACTTTTACATTCAAATTATATTTCAATTGTAAAATGGGTTATACGTAATCCAATGTGCTCTATCTTGATCTGCTGCAGATTTATGAGTAGTAAATATACTCTTGAAAACTTCTGATGCTTTAGGATCTTTGGCAACACTGTAATTATCTTTAACTTTTTTATATGCTGGATCTTCAGCTTTAGTCCTATTATTATTAATTTTAATAACAGAATTTCTATCCTCCTTTTTCATTTTCTTCTTTGGTACATCTTCTTGCTTAATATCTTGTGTCTGATCGTCTTCATTATATTTCTGTTTCTTAGATTTTTTCTGTATTGTTTTACGTAATGCCATATTTTTTTCCATCAATTTAAAATCATCACCTTCTGCATTTATAATAACAATATCTGTTTCAGTAAATGGTTGTTGACATTGATGACATATCTGAAAAAGATTGAAATAAAAAAACACTATGTTGTCTCCATTGCATAAACATTTTCCTTTTTTATATTTATAATATAACTGCTTACCTTGCTTTTTACTTCTTTAAGTGCTCTTTCACTCATTACACAACCACATGACCATAAAAAACAGAATTTGTATTTTCCATTCATTTCTAATCCAATAAGTGGACAAATATATGGACTTTTTCCTTCATCAGTGTAACAATCTCCTTTTTTTGCTTTATTACCATCAAATGCTGGATTTGGTGTCAAATTCAAATTCTTCAGATCTTTCAAGGTTTTAATATGTTGTGCTGATTCTGGAAGTGTACTTCGATCCAGAAGACCTTCCAATACAGATTCTTTACTATAAAGATGACCTAAACCACAACCAACTACTGGCGGTTGTAATGGTAATTGTTTTATTGTGCAATGTCTCCATTTAAATGCTAATTCTGCTTCTTTATCTTTCTGCAATTAATTATAATACATA